GCAATTTGTTTTGCCCCACATCTATTTCCCCAATTAAACATTTTTTTATTTAGTTGCTGTCTATCTGGCGCCCATCGTGGTGCCGGAACTTGATCAATGGGCAGTGATTGAATGAATGAGTCCGTGGACCCTTCACGCCCACCTATGTCTCTTGCTCTGATTCTAAGAAATCTCACCTTCCTGCTATTCCTCTTTCCTGGCTTATGCTGTCTGGGGCCCTCTGCTGCTACGTTTTCTAAACTTAGTTTGCTTTCTTAGAGTCTTTTCAGGTTTGGCTGTTGGTACTAGTCTAGGGTCCCATTCCTGGTATCTTGGTCTTGTTTCCTGGGCTCTTTACCCACATAATATATATATATATATATATATATATATATATATATATATATATATATATATATATATATATATATTACAGAGAGGAAAGGAGAGGGATAGAGTTAGAAACATCAATCAGCTGCCTCCTGCACGCCCCCTACTGGGGGTGTGCCTGCAACCAAGGTACATGCCCTTGACCAGAATCGAACCCGGGATCTTTCAGTCCACAGGCCAATGCTCTATCCACTGAGCCAAACCGGTTTCGGCTTTACCCACATTTTGTCATTTCTAGCTGCCGGGAGTTATTGAGATATGCTCAAGAATTAGTTAGACAGAGATTTCTCCAACCTTCTCCTTCTCCTAGCAGATATTCTAACTTTTCACCTAAATTTAGATTCCATCTTTTTTATAATCATCCAAGCAAGTAGCCCAGGCCTAGGTACCTGAAAGGCCCATCTCCTTGGAAGCATGTATCACACTTAAATTTTTTTTTTGAAAAAAATTGGTTTCAGAGAGGAATGGAGAGGAAGAGAGAGGTAGAAACATCAATGATGAGAGAGAATCATTGATTGGCTTTCTTCCCCATGTTCCCCTCCCCACCCACTGGGGATTGAGCCCACAACCCAGGCATGTGCCCTGACTGGGAATTGAACCATGATCTTCTGGTCCATAGGTTGAGGCTCAATTACTGAGCCCATGCTGGCTTGCCTATCACACTTTTTATTAAATAAGTAACCATGTAGTTTGTCTGACATCTGTGTATTTCTTTCTTTTATATATATATATATATATATATATATATATATATATATATATATATTATTTATTTTTTCAGAGAGGAAGGGAGAGAGATAGAGAGCTAGAAACGTCGATGAGAGAGAAACATCGACCAGCTGCCTCTTGCACACCCCCTACTGGGATATGCCCACAACCAACGTACATGCCCCTGACCAGAATCGAACCTGGGACCTTTCAGTCCGCAGACCGATGCTCTACCACTGAGCCAAACCGGTTTGGGCTGACATCTGTGTATTTCATTTGGGGGTAAATTCTGCAAGGACAGGGATGCTAACTATTTGACTCACTGCTGTATCCTCAACATCTAGCAAACAGCGCCATACCTAGTAGAGCCTAATAAAGATATGTGACAAGAATGAATGAGTGAATGAATGAGTGAGTGACTGAATGACGGAACCATTATAATTTTGATAAGCAGGGGCAAAGCTTTGCTTCTCTGAAGGGAAGCCTTAATGTTAAAGGCTCTGTTTGTGAGAGGGAAAAACAGGCCTCGGGGAAGTTTGTGACCAAGAGCAGGGGCTAATGCTTAAGTGGACCCCATGGACAGCGCCGCGTGGGCCAAAATAGAAGAAACAAATGGCTCTGGGAGGTTGGGAATGGGAGTGGAGAGGGTGAGTCACGATTTCCTATTTCCCCAACAGTCATATTTACTTTGGACCTTGTACAGTTCCCAGAGGATTTGGGGTCAAAGTGGAAGTTGGGTTGTTTGTGTGTGTGTGGCAGCAACATTTCAAAGAGGTTATTGCTAATCACTCCTAATACGTGTGGGCCAAACTGGCCTTTTGGGGGTCAATCCCTGGAATTGGACCAATTAGCCCAGCAGGCCCATACCTCCTCCTGAGACCTGGGCACAGCTGTGGCCCCTGTCTTGACAAGGGGTCCAGGGACAAAGCAGGGATCAGACATCCTGGGGGCAAGAGGCTTCGGCAGCTTCTCTGGGGACCAGGAGGAAGCAGAGGGTAGGCCCGTGATCTGAAGGGACCCGCCGAGCTCTTGTTATGCTCACTAAGCCTTAATGAGGGCCTTTGGTCTCAGAGCTCTGAGTGATGGCACCAGGTTCCTGAGGGAATGGGGCTGGATCAATACCGGAAAACATCCAAACATGTTAAAGATTATGTTTGGTCTCCATATGTCATTCAAAGTAAAAAACAGTTAAACCATAAAATATGTGCAAGGTCAATATAGTTCAAGTTTACCCCATGCTGGTTCCATGGATGCTCTGCTGCAAATACTGAATTCTTTAAAATCAAAACAACCCCCCCCCCCCCCCAGTTTTGATTTGGTGTTTCTGTTTTAGTAATGCCATACATTTCTTGTCAGCCTATTAGGGATTCCATCCCTGAGGAAAGGTCTGAGGGGGGGTCTTGTCATTGAGACCTGAGTGAGAAGAAATCTGAGTTGGGGTCCCTGGCTCACCGAGAGGCTGAGGGGGGTTGCTGGCTGCTAAGGGAATGGAGGGAAGAGTTCTGACAGCTGAGAGATCCAAAGGAGGTCCCTAGTCACTGGGAGTGCTGAGGGTGGGCTCTGGTCAGTGAGGGGCCCAAACAGATGGTTTTGTCATTGAGGACCCAAGGAAATGCCCTCATCATCGAGGAGCCTAATCAGGGGCCCCACTGACCAAAGGGCCTGCCAGAGACATCTGGTCAGCAAAACCGAGGGCGAGGCTCCCACCATAAACTCTTGAATGTGGTCAGTGTGTCCTAGGTGAGAAGGGCTACTCCATGAGACGGCCAAGGAGGAAGTAGGAACATTAACTTCTGGGGGGACTGAGGGTAGAGAGTCTTGGCTTAGCGAGGTTTGAAGAAGGGGCTCTGACCACTGAGACATGATTGAGTGTCTTTGGTCAACAGGGCATATAAAAATGGGGCTCCTACATCAACTCTGAGTTCACATAGATGGCAAAATGACCAGTGTGGGGTCCAACAGATGAGATTTCAGGACCAGATTAAACCATAGTGAACCTTGGATTCCTCCTTTCCCTTCCTTCCAGCCTGACCTGCAGGTTTTCTAGTCACCAGTAGATGGCACTGCAGCTTCACACGAGGAAGGGACTGCTGGCTTGGTTCCCAAGGTGGGGTCCAGGTGCAAGCAGGTGATCCCTGGGAGAGAAGGAAATTACTTGCTTCCTTGACCAGACTCCCTGGCGATAGGGAGGAATGAGGCCATGATGGCCAAAGCTGGTTGCCTAAACACAGGCCACCTAGAGGCTGAGTCCTGTTATCATCAGACCAACTAGTTCTAAACACAGTGTGACTTTTTATGTTTGATTTATTCAGACATTCATCTGTTCAGCAAATGTACACCTAACACCTATTAGAATTTGTGTGAGGACACAGGGTGATTGAATAAGGTCACTGTTGTTGAGACGTCCATAGTCTTGGGGGTGAAACTTTATTACAAGCCTAATGATTACAATAAATGTGATGAAGACTGTAACAAAGGATGCATATATGCCCTGGAAGTCCAGGAAAGGAATGGATGTAGGGTTTGGGGAGGTGGTGAACATGAGAGTAGAGCGAGGTGACATTGATGTAGGGTCTCAAAGTATGAACAGGGACCCCACTAATGAGAAAAGGTATCTGGAGTGAAATCAGAAGTGTGAGTAGAAGTGTTGAGGGATTTTGGTGCAGTGTAAAATGTCTAGAGCACATAGGAAATGTGGTGTGGGTGGGCTGGGAGGATGGTGGGGAGTGGAAATCACAGATATGTATGGGGGAAGATCATTAAGAACCTTATAACCCATATTTAGGGATTTGGTCATGGTCCTTTAACAGATGAAGTATAAGGAGGTTTTTCAAGATGGCAGATGAAATATAATATTCAGGTTACTGATTAATTACTCTGATAGCCAAGGTGAGGGGTAGATTAGAGGAGAAACAGACTGCATGCAGGAACCCAAGTAGGCAACCAAGTTAGAATTTATGGGTGTTAAGAGAAGAAGGGAGCCAGGGAAGAGAAAAGAGATTGGAGGGGTATTTAGGAGAGAGGATAAATAGGATGTTGTGCCAAAGTAGATGTGAAAGGTAAGGAAGAATGAAAAATTTAGGAAAATAAATGCTAACTTTACTAAGCATTTAACATTTGTGGTACTTTATCTCACTGATCATGACAGCACTCTAATAAGTAGGAATTATTACCCTCATTTTTAGATGAGGAAATCAGAGCTCAGAGAGGCTGTGTGGCTTACCGAAGGTCACACAGCTACTTCTGTCTCCCACCTGATTTCCTACCTTAAGCCTCATCTCTCTCTAGACCATTTTCCACACTGCCACCAGCGTGAGCATATAGAAAATCCTTCCTTACAATCCTCCAATGCTTCTCTACTGGGTATAATAAGGTAAAGTCCAAGCATGCAAAGTCCTTGGCTGCTCAGTTCCTGCCACTCTCAGCCTTTCCCTATTTCATTCTAAGGATCAGGCACACAGGGGTGCTGGAAAGTTCCTAAAGAGCTGTGCTGGTGATACGAACCCCACCCAAACCCTTCACCCGTACTGGTCCTCTGCATCATAACCTCTCTCTCTTCCATTGGACATGAGCTTCTCTAGAGGAGGGCCCTTCCTAGAGATATTCATTGCAAGTCTTTTTTATTTTTTATTTTTTATTTTTATTTTTTTATTGGTAACTTAGAATGCAAAGTATTTTATTTTTAAACTTTAAAACAAGACAGCCTAGGTTAAATAATAGTTTTCCAAAGCTGAATGTGCTCGCTTGGAGCTCAGTTTTTCTGCTTAAAGTACAAAAACAACTCTCTAAAACTCCTAGGCAAGACACTACTGTTTTGATGATCTGTGATTTAGATGAACTGATCCAATCTCAGTTGTTAACATCCCTTTTTCCCCCGTTGGTAAGGGTTTAAAAAATTCTAGAACAGATGCATTTTTCTAGTCTTACACCGACAATTTCATTCCGAATGTCTCCTGAGAGGTGTAGACCATATACAGGAATCCATCTTCATCCTTTTCACTTTCATACACTTCCGATATCGGTGTGGACACACTCACCATGCTGTGCCCATTCACTAACAGGAAGAAGGCTTGATTAGCGTTGAGCTGTAAGCGCCTTCTAATTATCTTGATGAGTTCACTCATGTTGACATGATCAGGTACAAGAAACTTGGTTTTATCCAGAACAGGAAGCTGCTTTTCCCCCTTGTATCGTTCTATTATCACCGGGATTTTGGTGGGATGCTGCTCTCGGATAAGCCGGACATCTTCTACTCTTTGTTCGAAGGTGTGGCGCTGCTTGAAGGTCTTCTCCGACGGCATGGTGCGCGAGGCGGGAGCAGGCGGCGAGGCAGAGGGTCCCGCAGCGTTCGGTGGCGCCATTGCAAGTCTTTTGTAACAACAAAAATACCATGTGGAGGGTTGGTCACATAAACTGTGACTTAAGTGTTCCTTCTAATGAAATACTCTGCCGTCATTAAAATGAATAAGAGCTCATGCGACCTTCCTTCAAATCCCACCCAGCATCTTTGACAGAGGATGAGCAGACCCAAGCCTGATTTTCAGAAAGCTCGGCACAGGACACAGCCTCCAGATAGAAGTGGTCAGGAGGATGGAAAACCCATCATTCAGACAGCCTGGAAGATGGATGTGTCATAATTGTACTTTAATAATCATTCTCAAAATGTGGGCTTTCTGACACCAAGATTCTTATGCTATCCAAGCCAGGGACATTTGTACTAAAGGATCGTAATAATGATTCTATCCATTTGGACACTGGGAACTGCTGATTTCACATTTCTCATGACTCAGCAAAAAAAGGGGAAAGGGTCCCTTGTGTCGATTGGGATGATTTGTCTTGACTACTATTGGAGAGAATGCATTCCCCTCACTCCCAATGGTTTATTTCACATGAAGGAAGCTTCTCTAGAGTGACACTCTTGGCCTCTCTCCACAGAAGAAAAGTCAATAACTTGTTCTAATGACAAATTTCTCTCTTTGGTAGTCAGGTTGACACAAAAGTATGTATTCTGGCCAGGACCGGTTTGGCTCAGTGGATAGAGCGTCAGCCTGTGGTCTGAAAGGTCCCGGGTTCAATTCTGGTCAAGGGCATGTACCTTGGTTGCGGGCACATCCCCAGTAGGGGGTGTGCAAGAGGCAGCTGATCAATGATTCTCTCTCATTGATGTTTCTAACTCTCTATCCCTCTCTCTTCCTCTCTGTGAAAAATCAATAAAATATATTAAAAAACAAAAAAACAAACAAACAAAAAGTATGTATCCTGTAGGGCATTTTAAAGGGAATTACCTCAATTTTCTTTCTTTAAAAATATTTTATTGATTTGTTACAGAGAGGAAGAGAGAGGGATAGAGAATTAGAAACATTGATTAGAGAGAAACATCAATCAGCTGCCTCATGCACACCCCCTATTGGGGACTTTTTAAAAACGCTACAGGATGTGGGACAAATGGTTAGAAATCGGGACTGTCCCAAAAGTGGGACATCTGGTTACCTTACCCTACTGGGGATGTGTCCACAACCAAGGTTCATGATCTTGACTGGAATTGAACCTGGGACTCTTCAGTCTGCAGGCCAACATTCTATCCCCTGAGCCAAACAGGTTAGGGCCTTATCTGTATTTTCTAACCCTCCCTTTAGCATCAACCTCCTCCCACTCTTATTCTACCTTATTTTGAAGTAAATCCTCAACACTATATCATTTGATTTCTAAATAATTCAGTATATTTCTCTAAGAGATAAAGACACTAAAAACTTGACTAGCTTTTGTAATATGAGATGCTTATTGATGCATTATGACCTCCATTGTATGGTTAACAAAACTAGAGCCATATGGTGCAAAGGCTTCAGAGTTAACATCTGTGTGGAGCCCATAAAATTGCAATTCACTTCTTTTGTGTGCCAGCAGTGTTTAATTGATTTTGTCAGTTTATCTACTGAGACCAGTAGCCAAGAATATTATTATTCATTTCTATCAGGTTTTGATTACAGTGCCTTCAACTGTGTGAGAATTAAAGACTTAAGATAACACAACTACAATACCATCATGACAGTAAAAATTTTTCTTTTTTTTTAATTAAATATTATATGTGTACATATCTTATCAATTCCTCCCCCCCCACTCCCATACATGCCCTCCCTTCCCAGAGTTTTGCGTCCATTGGTTATGCTTATATGCATGCTTATAATTCCTTTGGTTGATCTCTTATCTCTCCCACCTCTCACTACCCTCCCCACTGTAATTTGACAGTCTGTTTGTTGCTTTACTGTCTCTGTATCTATCTCTTTGCTCATCAGTTTATAATGTTCCTTATTATCCATAAATGAGTGAGATCATGTGGTATTTTTCTTTCATTGACTGGCTTATTTCACTCAGCATAATAAACTTATTTTCTTAATATTGTATAATATTCAATTAGCACTCAAATTTCCCAGGTGATCTCATAATTTCATTTATTTATTTATTTATTTTTAAATCAGTTTTGAGATTACTTAGATCTCTTTTAATCTGTATATACCCCTTCTATAATTTATTATTATTATTATTATTATTATTATTATTATTTGCAATTTATTGGTTGAGGAACCTGGGTATGTCCTGTGGTATGGCCCACAGTACGAATAAACCCCTATGATATCATTAAAGGTGTTTCATTGTATCACATATTGCTGGTGAGTTGGTAGTTAGACCTGGAGACTTGATCAGATTCAGATTTGATTTTTGATTTGACCTGTCTGGGGCAAAAGCGTCACTTCTCTGGTAAATTTTGGAAGAGTAAATTGGCATGCTCAACACTACTTCTCTGATTCTTTCTCTTTAGCCAGACTCTCCTGGGTTACACACATTCTGTTCTCCTTCTCCATGAAGTAAAATTTAAAGGGGTTTTCCCTGGGTAGTTGGGTGAGTGGGAAGGGAAGCAATGGTTTTCTTTCATGGTCTGTGAGTGGGTGGGTTAGTCTCCCTAATCATGGGGTTCAGTATTGAATGATGTAACCACATTTGCCCACATCAACGTTATCAGTAGTATTGCTATTTTAAGCTCTCATTTGCCTTAAACTTTTGCATTATTTCTCAATCAATTCAGACCTTGGGCAGGGGACTCCAACAAGGATGAATAGACTAGCCACTTTTATTAGACAAGCTCCTCTGCCTGCCTTGTCCACAGATCTTGTAACACTCACCACAGTTGCCACATTCATCTCATTCTCTCACCTCTGGGCAACAGCCTATTGGATCTGATCCAAGGCTATCAGTCAGATGCTCACTCTCTTCTCTCTCAGGAGATTTAGCTAAGACACAGTGTGCAACCATTTGACAGTAGGCACTTGAGCTAGATTTTCTCACCATGTGTATTGCTGATAAGTAGAGACAGAAAGCCAGGCTGCGGGGCAGCAGCATAGAGCTGGCCCGTGGGGAGTAGTAGAGCCAAGAGACCAGGAAGCATTGAGAATCAGAGGGAGTGGCCTGGCTCACTGACCTCCATGTTCTAGTTCCCTAGACTTTTTGGGTGTTATTGTTCTTAGATTCTGTGAGATGGTCACTTGATTCTAAGTGTATGAGAAAATTATACTCACTGGACTTGCTGAAGAGAGATCATTGCAATTTTTAGAAGAATTTTCATGACAAGCTCATTTCACATACAAGCCAAGGAGTTGGAATATATGTAAAACTAGGACTGGAGAAAGAAAAAGTGTTTTCTGATTATTCAGGAGAGGAAGGGAAGAAAGAGAGTAAGTGTGTGTATATGGGGTGGGGGGGAGAGTGGGGAGAGATAAAAGGGGGTGATATTTCCCATGTGACATTTCCCATGACCAACCATTCAAAACACCAGAGTTCCTACCTCTTGCAATAAAAAATTTTCAGTTTTCTTAGTGAAAATTGATGAAGAGGGATTGCTTGATGCCAGATTCATGTGGAAGAATTAAGGCAGCAAGAGGAAGTATGGGAGCCCTGAGTGTGTTTGTGTGTATGTGTGTGAGTGTGTGTGAGGGGTGCAGGGGGTAGAAGTGTATAGAACTTCGGACTTGAGACTGTGGTTTGGAACTAACTGTACCTAGATGGTACCTGGTCACTTTGAATGTCCAGCCTCCTTCACTTCCTCAACAGAGGACAGTATCTAATCTACATGAATACCCACAAGCTTCAGTCTTACTGCTCTTCAACTTTGTAGCGCTGTCCTAACTCTGCAGCGCTGTCCTATCATCATGGCTGTTTTTGCCCTACTCTCAGTTTGGCCTGTCTCCACCAGGAGCTCCACGCTGTAGCTCACTTAATGTCTCTTGCTGGGTTCTTGTCCCAGCATTACAAAGGGTTCAGCAATCTGGAGAAAGGAGCTGCTGCATAGATTCAATAAGGAGTCCAAGGATGAAAAATAATTTTGAAAGGCATTGGGGGTCAGAGGAACTTCAGCTAAAGGAACTAAAGACTACTCCTTGTCTAAGGACCCTGTGCTATTTATTAACACTATTTGTCCTAAGGCAAGGTAGAGATAATACACTTCAAAGGATAGAGTTTACAGAAGCATTGTCATATTTAGGAATAGCCTACAGCTGTTCAGGTGTTTGACCAATAGGAGGCAATAACATGCAGATTAAAATGCCCTGAGCTGTCTGACAGCAAACAATAATCCTAGTCAGGTTTTGGGGAGGTGCTTTTTAGCTGTAACCAGATGATTCAGCCCTGCTGACATGCTGGAATTGGCTTCTGGCAGTCTCTCTCTAATAAATCAAAGGAGGATGGTTGAGCAGATCTTTCTTCCTCTTATAGTTCTTTGCCTCAAGTCTTTCCAAAATTACCAACAGCCTTGGTATTTATATACAGGTTTCTTCACAGAGTTGAGATTTCAGAAGGGGCATTCAGTGTCAATGAGAGAAGGATACAACACTGCCTATTTAGACTTTCTCTTTACTTCTCAAAGGAATGATGCCTGCACATCAACTCCTTCACAAGTTGCCTGGCTTTTAGATGTGCAACCTTTCCTTCTCCATAGACCCTCTTTTTAAATATTTCTTCGATCCAAAAATCCCACCAATGTCCATACCCATCACAGGAAGGGATCCCACTTTTTTTTTTTTTTTTTAAATATATTTTATTGATTTTTAACAGAGAGGAAGGGAGAGAGATAGAGAGCTAGAAACGTCGATGAGAGAGAAACATCGGCCAGCTGCCTCTTGCACACCCCCTACCGGGGATGTGCCCGCAACCAATGTACATGCCCTTGACCGGAATCGAACCTGGGACCTTTTGGTCCACAGACCGACGCTCTACCACTGAGCCAAACCGGCTTCGGCACCACTTCTTGGTT